AGGGGGGGGGGATATAACATAATAAACATCGTTACCTATCAATCGTCCTGCTGGTACCAGAACAGTAGAGAGTCAGCGGCTCACCCTCCTGTGATGGGGGGCACAGGTCCACGTCCTCCTCGCACGTCGACAGCGGCACACCCCAAAGTAGGCCTATGACGGTGATCAGGAGAACAGAATGTCGTCTGTAACCCGGAGAAAACACAGGGCGGACGAGCAGTCGCAACATAATGTCGTGACTGCGCGCAGACATTAGCTTGCCTTCGCTTGTACTTGGATTTGGAGCACACATTTTCCTCCAGTCCCAGTCACCATTTTACCTGCGAGCACGGCTGACGACATGTTGTTTTCCTTAAATTTTCGTAAAACAGTGTTTTGTCGTAGGCCTACTGTTTATTCGTTGCTGACAACAAGATCATATAGATCTGCACAGTTCTACACAATATGCCTACTCTACCCCAGACATAGGCACACACGTAACTTTCCAGTCCAGTGGTCCTATCTGTTGTTTTTTATATCCCTACAGCAAACCACAAGCGTAAACAAACTACCTAGTATCTAGGTCACCCTCTATGCGCTGGCCCAACGGCAACAGCCTGCGACCTGCAACACTGCTTGCTTGGCCTTGGCAAGAGCGATACCTTTGTGTTATCGTGCGTCCCATGGTGCATTGCTCGCTAAGTTCCTGGAAACTGAATTTTCGACGGATCGGGACTTTCAGAGTGCCCCCCCCCCCCTTCCTTAAAAAATATCTTTCTCGACACCACTGATCGTTAAATAGGTAGATCTATGTATAGCCGCTACCTGGGCAAAATTCCAAATTATAAGGAAGTCCCTACCCTAGAGAATCCGTACCGTATCAAATCTGTTTAAACAAAACCTAACCAAAGATAGTAGGCCTCCAGCCTACGGTAGGGTGTAGTATATATTTGCCCTAATTAACTAGATTCAGATTCTGCTTCCTTGATTCCGAACGTTTTGACCAACCAATGTCTCTCCTAATGAGCATATGGAGAGACGTGCGTAATGGAGAAGGCTACTACTTGGGCAGTCTATTTTCTTGTACGTTTGTGTGTGTGTGTGTGTGTGTGTGTGT